GAATCTTGGCCATGGCAGTTCCAGATTCTTATGCTGCTCCATCCTCCTGACATCACCTTGCCTGCGTTCTCTGTGGAGCTGTCCTCAGTTCCCAGGCAGAATGGAGCCTGCACTCATCCTGTTCCCAGAGTACTCTGTGCCTATTCCTACCCTCACCATCTCTTCAGTTCCTGGTTCCGGGACCATCTGCCCAGGCTCCAACATGTATTCCTTTGCATGCTGTGCTTTACTAGACCTGGCACGGAGGACATGCCATGAATGAGGGTGTAGGCTGACCACTGGGCACTTTGGACCCTGACTGTCAGGGGCAACTCTTGGGTTGCTGGGTGGAACTGCCCTGGGTGGGAAGAATCAGGCTGCAACTGCTTCTGACACTCAGGAGAGAGCTCTGCCCAGGCTGAGGGCCTCATGTGGCTTCATGAGAGCCTCATGCCAGATGCCTGAGTTGAGGGACAGATGGGTGGTCACCACAGTGACCCACAGCTTAGGCACCAGGCAGGTCACTGAAGTAGTGAAGAGGTCATTTCCTGCCTCATTTTGATGCAGTCATTACAAAAATCCATTCTCAGCTGGGCTTGGGGGACACAGTGGTCCACTGCCCATAACAACACTAGTCTCATCCATGTGGCACCTCCCCCGTGCTCAGGAAGGCCCCCAGGAAATGTCCTCCCCCACCTGCACCTCTGGTTCTCACCAGAGTCCTTCCTTGACCTCTGTCTGGGGCCTGAGGATGCTGGGAATTGGGCCAATCCCAGCCCTCAGCCCTTTTCTACTAGCATGCCTTGGGCAAGGTGCTGCACCTCCAAGAGACTTGTTTGTATCTTTCCGTAACTAGCATGTGGTTGACAATTCCCTCCCCAAGGAATGTTGTGCAGATTAAACAAGATGCATCCCACCCACCGTAGAGGGCAGCAGAGGCTGCGGGGCTGGCACACCCAGGGAGCTTCCAAACCCAGACACCGTCCAGTCACCTGTGACCATCCCACGCCTCTGCCTTTCACTGCCCAGAAAAAGCCAAAAGACCAGACACAACAGCAGGGCACACCCTTCTCCTCAGTGCCTGGGAAGCCTCCTTGTCTGGACCCCCAGACAAAACCAAGCCTCCCCTCCCGGGCCCCTGTGCCCAGCACCCTGCCCTAAAGACAGGTGAACAGGGTCACCTGGCCACACCATCAGGAGCCACAACCAGAACTTTGCTTCAAGCCCGGCCAACAAAGTAACTAGCGGCTCCCGGTGCTCTGGGAGAGCAGGAGGCCAAGCACCCAGAGCAAGGCCCTGTCCCTCAGCCACCGCCGCATGTCTGCCAGGCAGTCTCGGCCAAATATCAGCAAAGCCCCTTACCCAATCCACTTGAAATGCCGGTACAAACAGGTCACTCAGCTGCTCCAGAACACTCAAGGCCCCCTGCCCAACCTGTGGAATCTGGTGTTTAAAGACCCACAGTCTGGCCTCAGTCCACATATACTGTCCATTGCCCCCTTCTGTGCCTCTGTTCTCAATGAAATAACTCGCTGCTGTGGTGGAGAGGAGGGGGTCTTCCTGCATGCCGTTCCCCTTTGTTTGCATTTGTCCGTTTCCTGCCTACCTTCCCAGTCCCTCTTGGTTAAATCCTCTTTATAAAGTCCTTCCAGATAATCCCCAGGAATGGCCCTTCCCTCTTCTGGCCCCAGAGCACTTAGGTGAGCCTCTCCTACAGCCTGGGTCACTGTACACCTCTCTGTTCATATCACATCTCTCCTGGACCAAGCACGCCCCAGAGATGAGCCCAATGCCTGACTCCAGCTCACCTTTGGGCCTGACCCCAAATCACCCCAACAGGAAACCACAAAAGACGAGATGGAAGCACAGTCTAGGGAAAGCTGCCAGGAGACACCAAAGAGCGTGGGCAGGCCACTCCCAGGCAGAAGCAGACCCAAGGGTCGGAGCGACAGGCCAAAAGACAGATGCAAGGGACAGCAGAAAGGACTTCACTTTGTCAGCGTTGTCTCAACTCGCATGGCCTACCTCCTAGAACATAAGCCCCAGAACTAAGAGGATCAAGCAGAAAGCAGTGACCCATTGGCCCTGGTGTCAAAGGGCCTTAGGCCTACCATGAGAATCCCACGGGATCCCCTTACAAACCTCCTGGCCTGAGGACCCATACTCCTGACTCTAGCCCTCTGCTCTCCTCCTCCAGTTAAAGGGCATCCCTCTGTCCCCGGGCTTGCAGAATCCAGCACGGTGGTGGTTGGTCGAGAGCTTTCAGGAGGGTGACCCCACTTCCCATGGTGCAAAATGGGCTAGCAGGAAGCTGGGAAAGCTAGCTCCGGCTGGGAAAGGCTCGAGTTAGGGGGAGGAGGGAGCTTATGCGCACTGGCCACCTGACATCTACCAGGCACGGAGCCCTGCATTTCAGACTCTTTATTTTCTCTAATCCAAGCAACAACTCTGTGAGATATAACTTATTCTCCCCATTCCACAGATGGGAAGACCCAACTCAGAGGAGTTCAGTACTTATCCACAGTTACCCTGGTAATAACACACACAACTGGGATTCCAACCCAGCTCTGTCTTTCCTCTGTTGTTACTTTGATTTGGTTTTTTAATTGCAAACCAGCTGCCTCTAGAGCATTCCTCGAATGCCTCTTTGACTACTGACCCTTTGTTTCCATCAAAAGGCATCAAAATAGCTCTCCACATGCCAAATGTTGCAAGTCAGGGAAAGGGGCTGAGTTCCCAAAACCCTTCCCTGCCACCTGCTCGTTGTCCACCAGAAGACCATGCAAATCTACAGAGACCACAGATGTGAATGCAGCCCCTGCCTCACCCCGAATGTGCACATTCAGAAGCATCAGCCTGAGGCCAAAGGCCCTTCTCCAGGCCTGAGTGGGAAGACCCTTCCCCGAGCTGGATCCTTGCACCAAAAATTAATAAGTGATTTCATTGACTGTGATGCGCTGCCATCAACTGGCTTATGGAATCCTCATAAGCATTATGTGCAGGAGGGATAACGAGGAAACAGGATCAGAGAGACTGAGTGACTCAGCTATCAAGTGGCAAACATGAGACTGAAATGCAGGATCTGACGTAGGCACTCACAGTTGCTTGTTTGTTTTGCTTACGCTCTCTGTGCCTCAGTTTCCTCTTCTGTAAAATGAGCATAACAAAGGACTTTCACATCAGACTGTTGTGATGATCAGAGTTAGTAAATGCTTAGTGCTGAGAACAGGACAGGATACAGAGTGAAAACTAAATAAATAGGTATTTGCCTGCACAACACACACACACACACACTCACTCACTCACTCCCTCCCTCACTCACTGGCAGACAGTGAAAACTGGGAAACTGCCCACCACCTGGAGCCAGAAGTCTCAAGTTAAGTCTGTTGGTCCCTTACTTTCTGCCACGTGTCCTTGGGAGAATTACACAAGGTCACTGAGCCTCATTTTCCTCCCTGTAAAACAGAGACAATACAGCTCCCTGTGTCGCAAGGCTGTGAGGAGCCAGGACGTGTGTGTGACCATCATGTATAAACTCTTAGGTGTTCTGCAAGTTATGCTAACCCTGCGGAGGGCTGTGTGACTGACTTGCACCCCCGACCACTCCCCTGGGATGAGCCAGTGAGCAGCTAGAGCCTGGAGAGGATGGAGGCACAGTGTCGTCCACCACTCTGGACCTGAAGCACAGGGATCATTGGGACCCTCCATCACTAACGAAAACTAAGAAAACGCCTCCCCCTCCCCTTCCTAGATGGAAGCATTCTGTCCCCTTCTGCCTGAAGTACTTCCACAATCCCCCCCAGAAGCAAGGGGTGGAGGCACTGGCAGCCTGAGTGAGGGGCTCTGTCCTGCGTTTCAGGAGATGGCATTTCTGCAGTGGACAAAGGGCTCGGGACACCCGGTGATGGAAGCTTATGCAGCATCTCTGCCAGAGAAGAGAGGAGGCATCAGGCTCAGGCAAGCAGCCCCCTGCACGGCAGAGACAAAGGGCCACACATGGGCAGCCAAGTACCACAGCTCAGCCTTGCCATCTTTGACTTTGCTGGAGGGAGATGAGGTGAAGCCACAATTCCACAAACATAAGGTGTGTCATCGGAGCCCAGAGAGAGGAAAGCAGGGGGCATGGGGTGTCATCAATTAGGGCCAGAAAGAGGTCTGATTAGTGGACTGACGCAGCTCCTGGAGGAAGGTCTCAGGACACCTCAGTGCTGTCTGGAATGTTCCATCAGTGAGTGGACGGGGTCAGAGCAACGGCTGGTTGAGTGAAACCACGAGACCGGGGAAATCTCCCTGAGTAGACAACCAGGAGCCAGCAAGTCTGGAAGGGTGGGTCTAAGATGAAACTCAGTCTGGACAAATGGAAGGTGAGGCATTTGAACATACACAACAACTGCCAAGAAAGGGCAGGAGGAGAGACGAGGCTGAGCAGCATCTCGTGTCAGAACAGAACCCCAGGGGCTTAGTCAGCCCTGGGTCCAAAGCCATGAGCCAAGAGTGTGAGATGCAGCCGCCAAACCAGCAAGTGAAAAAGAGGTCACAGAAAAAGCAAGAACAGTGATCTGGGCAAGGGAACAAGGTGGGGACCGGTCCCACCCGTGGCCAAGCACTGAACCCAGACACAGCACACTCTGGCAGGGTCCTGCACAAGGGGAGGGCCCTCGAAGCCATGACACGTGGAGGACAGCTGTGGAGCAGAGGGGTTGACGGCCTGTCAGCGTGGGCTGTCTCTGGGGCATGACCAACACGGGCAGAGAAGGGCAGGCATCTGTGCTCTGGGGAGGCTGGATTAAAAGACTTCTGGGGTTCTGCCTGAACTCCTTCTGGTTTCCAGAGACCAATCCAGAAGGCTCCTTGCTCTCTTGCATCTTCCCAGACACAGCTCCCTGTGCCACATGAAGAAGAGCATACTCTGGATCCCATTCCCAGGAAGAAGGGTCCGTGCATGGCCAAGGAGCCCTCCACAGGGCAGTACTCTGGCATGAAGCACCTGAGCCCACTTTCCTCTCCTCTTCCCCCCTCAGTGTTGATCGGCGTGGGCACTGAGACCTTCATCCAGGGACAGTTCAAAAGCCTGGCTTTCTATCTGCTGTGAGTACGTGTGCACGTGCCGCTCCCTGCCTGCATGTTCTGCTCCGGTTCACCTTGAGTCTGTCTGCTCAGACTACCCTAGAGCAGCACCCCCTTCCCATGCTAACTCCATCCTATCCCAGAGGTGGAAGGAGTAGAGGGGGCTTCTAGGATATTCCCTGGTTTGGGCAGGGCTTTAGTCAGACCATCCCATAAATCAACCAATTGTCCTTCCATCTACCCACCGATCCACCCCCCCACCCCCCCACC